TTAAAGTATTTAGTTGTATGCTTTTTTTTTATTTATTTATTTCAGCATAATTCAATAACTTGCATGATAATAGAATTATATACTTACTAAATAATAATGAGAGGCGGTCCATATAAATATTGATCTTGTCTCGTATTTGATATTCAGAATTCCTAGTTAAATATAATTCGTTTACAGAAATTGTTTTTATACAATTGAAAAGTTGACTCAATTCTTTAAGTATAAATATTTGTTAAATTAGACAACCAATAATACATATTAATGTTTCATAACTATTTATACTTACACATATCGACTTTTTGACTTTGACACTATGTAGTAACCAGTAGTGTAATAATATTATACAAATTGATGTATATAGTTTATAGTTATGTATATGTATTATTTCTACAGTCGTTCGTATAGTGCTTCATATAGAATTCATATAAAAGTGTATAGTAAGAATAATATTTAATAAGTAAATCTGGAAATTATTGTCAATCTATTTTATAGAAGTTTTAATTGTTTTGATTTATCTTTGAGAAAGGTTAAAGCAGATTTTTTAAATAATTTTTCCTGGAGAGGACGATTGGCTTGTCTTGCTCTTATAAATACAGTTTACAGTTGTTTTTTAGTTTTACCAAATCAAAATGATAATAAAAAACGTTATATACCTTTCCTTGAAATCCAAAATTAAAAACATAAACTGTGTTTGTAATATTATAATATTAGATGAGACTTATCCCCCAGGCCCCAGATCTCTATACGTTCTTCAACCTCTGAAAAGCATTTTAGATTCTGTATTAAAGTCATATAACTAGAGAACGGATTTATATGCACTTAAAACCTTAAAAATAAGATGTTTCTATGCTCTATAATTTCATCAAAATAATCTTATGTATGCAAAAATATTCTTTTTCATAAAAATGTATTAAATACCGAAAAAATAAATAAAAGCTGTAGTTTATAAAAATTATAAGATAGTTGAATTAATTCTAATTTTTACAAAATTATTCAAACAGTTATATTTAATCTATAATATGGTGATGTACTAGCACTACTAGCACTACTATTTTATTTTATTATATTTTAGATGTGTGATTGTAGCACATAGTTACACGCCTAAAATTCATCTTTATAAATTCAAAAAATAACAAGTAGAGGGGTAAAGAGGATTTTCAGCATTTTAATTTACCATAATACACACAGAAACTTGACACCTAGACCGGCTAGACATAGTACACCCATAGACATATAAAACAACGAGATATAAGATAGTGAACTGCATATTACCATAGAACAATTACCATATATTACATTCCCACAAGAACGTTGACGTCGTGCATCCATATATCAACAGGGCAATGTTTACAAAATAACTCAATATTTAAGATACTTACCTATACATTTTTATACGTTATATATATATATTATATATGTAACAAATATATATATATTATCAACCATGAAATTTTGCCCTGTTAGCATATGTCTGCTGACTTCAATATTATCCTATACTTGGATATCTAGTTGTTTTATTTGTTTATGAGTGCACCATAATTATTAGTCAAACGTTGAAAGCGGTAACTTACTAACTTCCACTATCCTCTGCCTATAAGATAAGAGATCTAGAAAATAATTAATTTTCTTATCAATGTTATGTTCTGAATTAATCATCAATATTGCTTTGCGTCATTTCGTCATGATAAAATATGCGTTATTATAATGAAATTTTTTTTGCATTTTTTAATAAACCATTAGATTTTTCATAAAATATTCAAAATTAAATCCCAATAAGGTAATATATTCTTAAAACATGTTTTTTATTAATTCATTTATTATAATTAACGTCAAACGGCTTTTTGAAATACAGCTTAATAGAAACAAGAAGTACAATGGTAAAAAATAAAAACAGTTAACAATTTAAAAAAACACTATACTTAAACCTTAAACTAACTTAACTTATACTAATCTGAAAAATTTAATTGACGAGGGCAAAAAAAGAAGGATATATTTTTGCACAAATATTCTTTAACCTTGAAATATTTTTTTTTATGAGCTAAAGAACTTTGTATATCAGTTCATAGGTAAATTAATTGTCGAGAAAGCTTATCCAATTGGACCTGCATGCTCTCAGTAAAAAGACGTAAAAACTAAAAAGCCGGTCTTTACATATAACTGTAATTTTTATTAAAATTATTATTTATTCTTTTGTTGGTTGCTGTGGCAATTATAGAACACTAAATACAATTTTAGAAACTTTTTTGTAGAATGAAAACATATAGGTAATATGATTTTTAAGATATTTTATAAATACCAAAATAAAATGTTTTTATAACAATAAACATCTCTCTACTAGGATGTGGGATAAGTCACGCATAACGATTAGATTATCTTCCTATTACCTATACTACATACCTTCAATTAGTATTCTGAAATTAATTTTATGTAAAAAAAATATCAATAATAATTCCCCACTTATATAATTTACATTGCCAGCTACAGCGTTTTTAAAACGATATTTTAGAATTCTGAACTCTAATTTTACGACGCTTGAACCTTGAAACATGATCACATAGTGGTATCAATGTTAAAAGCAAATGTAAGTATATAATTATTATTTAGTTCCTATAATTTACGATACCTAGAGTACCGCATTTCTATATTTCATATGTAAATTTGCCTCGCTGAGACCGTTCTGTAATGACCTCCCCATAAATTATCAAAACATACGAAAAAGTGTAATTGGGTTGTCCAAATAACTTTACCCATCATCACTTGTTAGTACGTGACACGACAGTTCGTCAAGCTACATATCCAATATCATTTCATCTTGATTTGACATCAGCCGTCAACAACACTAAGTTTTCCAAAGATCCTATTTTTATTCTTATCCAAATTGGAATCAAAAATTCCAACAATGTATCATAATATAATCCTGCACTTGTAATACACAAGCTACATACTTCCGCACTATATAGGAAGTAAGAAAAGGTTACTTTTTAATCGTGCGAGCGCGTTGGATAGGTGTGATGTGCAGTTGTCCTTTCTTCAGGGTAAGAGGAATCAGCACCCAGCAGGGTGTATAACTATTAATGTGTTTAAACTTGTTAAATTAATTTTTTTTTAACTTTTTTAAATTTCAAACACACTTAACTTTCTACCCTCTAATTTTTACGGCTGAAGGTTTGAATTTACAAGGTTTCGTACAGATATAACATAGTATATAGTAATTCTTACTGACACCCAAAAATCTACAAAAATTAAAAAACTGTATAGACTTATTTTCATGTTTCAATTTTTACTAAATTGAATACTAAACCTGAAAATAACGAATTGAGTAATCTTAGTTATTCTGTTTTAAATAAAAAAATATTTTTGAGGCCTTTAAATTTTTGGTTTCTCAACACTTTTAAAAGAACTGAGAATTTTCAATTTTGACTTGAATGCACCAACTATATATTCACTTTCACATTAGAAAATATACTAAAAATTGCAAATAGAAGCATTCAAAAATATGTGTTCCTACAACAGCTAGTATCAAAATACTCGGTTTGTATAAAAGGCATATATAACTGTGATTGTAAGTTTCTTAAAAAATGTAATCTTACGTTGCCATAATCCCTAATTATTCCATTATCGATGTATAATAATAGGCATTTTAATCAAAAGATATCATGGGTACATGGTTTTTTTTCTGTGCAGTGAGAAAAGTAATTTCACCGTAAAAATGTTTACTTTGTACAGTAAGAAAAAACTATTCGTAATTGTTATTTATTCTATATTTATTTATTAAATAATAATTACGAAAACTTCAAAATATAAATGTATTTTAATTTTTATTTATACTTTTATCAGGCTTTCTGATCGAGTTATATGGGTTATAAACAGACAATAAATGTTTTGTTAGTTTGTTACTTACAATCATGATAACATGATAAGGATAACAAACTTAAGAAATAGTTTTGAATTTTTGAGAATTGTAAATGGACAGTTTTTAAGGAATTTAAAATGGGCAATTTTTAAATTACATGTATATGAATCTCTTAAATGTGTGCTTATTGCTTAGTAAGTGGTCATTAGTGTGTGTAACTGGTAGTGTAGGTAGTGAAAAAGAAATATCGGCACATACTCATACAAGTCTTAAAATGTTTAATATTATTCATTGATCATTAATAAATAGTCATCACTATTGTACATATTATGCTATTATTTTAACTAAAAGTGTAAAAAAGCAATTTTAAATTTAAAAAAGGAGTTATAGATACAAATCTAATTTAGTTTATTTTTATTTGTAGGTATTTTCTTTTTTTCAATAATCGTTTACTCATTTAGCTATTTTACATCAAACATTATATTACTACAATACTATCTGCTAAAAGTACAATATAAAAAGTAATAACATTTGTAAGATAAAAATCTAGATGAAGACATTTTATGTACATAATTATCTAAATAAAAAATGAATGTTCTATCTTCAGATTAATCTAGATGTTATTTTTGCTATCTGAACTCAACACTGCATATAAAGCAACCTATGGTTGAGACAGCCTGCTTAGTTGTTTTATTTTAATAAAGTTATTTCTTTCTCTACTAATACCCACTGTTAAAAGTACATCATTATATGCACAACTACACAATTTTTATTTATAAATAAAAATAGTGCATTGATATGAAATGGTTTATTTGGTATGTCATGGGTAATATTTGGCAGTAGCTTAATTCCCTACTACAATCCAGGAGTAGGAAAAAATATGTAAGATCTCAAAAATTCACAAAAAAACACTCTGTATTATACTATCATAACTCATGACCTTAACGTGAACGTTCACTTCTGTCTACAGTATAAATTATAACAGTATAAGTAATGGTAGGGGTCTTTGGTCGGATAATTGTTTGCAGGAAATAAATTCAACTCAATGTTTATTTGAATAATAATTTAATTTGTTTATTTATTTTCTTTCATATAAATAATATTCAATAATTTAATAAAAACTCTAGGTTTTTCAAATAAATAATAGCACGTCGTCAATTAGGTATTGCGGCGTGCACATAGTCGTTGTTTTATAAAAAATAACAACAGGTTTCCAGACAGTGTGCACTTTATGTGAGCATCTCGTTAGCGTCGATCACTTTAGACATTTTTGTAGAGCTACTCAAGCGCTTTCTGACGGAAATAGATATTAAACTTAAAAACAACATTTTTTTTTAGGAAACATCAACCATTAAGATCAGACCAAACCGATTACAGAAGGAATATGTCTGAGTACGCGGTCTTCTGGAAGACTTTGTTAACGATATCTTGCGAGATAGCTCCAATCGCTTCTTCGAATGCTGGTTTCAATTCTTCAAGAAGAACTTCCCAGTTTTGGTTCAGGATGGAGTTCATGCTATCGCCTATTGTGCAAAAAAAAAACAACGGATTTAGTATGGAAAAAAAAGACAGTACTCCTCAATCATATTTTGTAAATACAATTGTGTGACAATAACCATTGAGTGGAATAATAATCTTAAAGTGTGGATAACATACCTAGTTGTTTGTTTCCATTGAAAAGGTTTTCCAACTTGACACTCAGTTGTTTGACGCTCGCCACCTTCAGGTTGACTTTCTTGATTTGAACGAAGGTCTTACCGTTCTTCTCGAATGGAGTACCGGACATTTCTTCCAATTCCAAAACGGGTTCGTCTGCGGAAAACATTGATATCGTAAAAAATAAGGAACACATATATATACGGATATGCAAAATAATATAATAGTATGTTAGAAACTCACGCAAGACAATGGAACACGGTCCGTTTCCGGTGATCGGCAAAACGAGCACCTTGCCGTTAACCGTGTATTGTCCGGTGATCTCGAGTGGTTTTGTGAAGCTGATCTTGCCGCTCGTCTTGAAGTTGTCCACGTCGATTTTCAAGGAATCGATCACTGTGCTGGTCAATCCCATGATTTTGACGTCTTTAAGCTTCAAGTCGATACTGACAGCTTTGCTAGAGCCCTTGCCGTGTTCGATTTCCAATGACGGTAACTCGAACGGTTCGATGGCCGGAATCCTCAGTTTCGGGTATCCTTCGGCCAAATCTGGAATGACTGATTGGATGGAGCTCTTCAAACATTTGTCAAGGTTTGGATCACTTTTCTTGCATAGATTGAAAGATATTTCTGCAAAGAAATAATTATAAGAATATTAGAAAAACAAAAGTTTAATCTTATGATATTATAATACAATTATTCAATAGTGAAACTCGTACACTAAGTCTATTTCGTGTACTAAAACTGACTTAATGAACCTATAGTTTTACTATTCAAATATTGACGTTGACATTATTCATCTACTTTGAAACAATTTTAAACGTAATACTTAAATATTTTTATCATCAATAAACAAATTCGAAATATAAATATAAATTAAGAATTAAATTTTTCCTTTAATCACCTGTGAAACAATGTGTGTTCACCTAAACAATTTTAAATGTATTAAACTTACAGAAACGATAACTTTAAAATTGTATTGTACTTGGTTATTTTTTATAATACTATATAACTAATTGTTTTTAAGCTTTAAATAAATCAGTCTGGAAAATACTATAGGCAACTTAACTAACGTTTTTATTTTTTGATATAAGAAATTTAATCATTTATTATGCTGTTTTTTTAAAATAACTGTTAATTTATTATTCAAAGTTTACAAATTTAAAATAACGGAATACAAACTCAATAAAAAATCAAATTTCTTTTTGTAAATAATTATTAAATACATTATAATTTTATGAAATGTATAATTGTATTTCTCAGTGAATTGTGAATGAAAAATATTACTAACCAAATAAAACCTTTCATGTGTTGTATTGTACATTAATAAGTATTACTTACGTTTTTTCGGTGTGGGTGCAGCGTTTATAGATGCAACGACGGCCAAAAATAAAGCAGAGACGATCAGCAACGATTTTGCCATTTTTAAATTGGAAGTATTTAGATTATAAAATAAAAAATAAAAAATTCCAAACGAAATCGATATCGGATCGTAAAAGTGCTTATTATATTTTGGATTATTTGTAAGTTTTGAAAAAACTAAGGAAAATCTTAATTCCAAAGTTACTTCTAAAACTGAAACCGTCGAAAATGTGATGCCGCAGCCCTGTGTTCGGATACCTTTTATACTCGCATGGCTGTTCATGTTGACCTCCCCGGAACTAGTTAAAGACACACCCATTGACGGCTATAATAAGTGTTTTACTGGTGGGCTATGTTATCATATTATATTATTCGAACAATCGTACTTTTTTTATATAAATGTTTATTAGATTATTTGTCCATTTATTTTTCAAACGTTTGTTATATCATTACTTAATTTTTATTAATATTCTTTAATTTTAAATATAATAATATTATTTTATAAATTATTTAAATAGAACCATTATGTGCATTTTTTTGAAGGTGAATCTTTAATTAAACATACTTCGATTTATATTTGTTTTTACATAGTATTATATTATGTTTATTATATAAAAGCTTACTTATTGGTCTTATCATATATTTTAATGTGTTATTGCATGAAATAGAAAATATATTTAAAACAGTGGCATACAAATTGATCTGTATTTGACAGTAAATTTATTAACCAGTGTCCAATGTTCAATGATTATAGTTAAGCTATTATATTTAATTGTACGTGCAATAACCCAATATTTTTATAAAAAATGTACCCTTAGCATATACATTTGAACTTACATTATACATTTAGTTAGATTTTATAGAGTGGACTGACTAATGTATTGATTGAACGTATTGGTGTGTGATTTTTGTGTCTGACGTCTTATATAGAAGAAATCAGGAAATCAAAAGAACTAACTCCTCAGTATTATGTATGATAATTAAATAACATTTATGTACACGTTATTAGTTTTTGATATAAATATTTTTTAAATTTTTAATGAATAACTATTGACATTTTGTCCAAACATGCAAGTTCATTGGTATAGTATAATTTTTATAATATTGCTTTATTTGTATGAGTACAATAATTGATCTACAATTATTGACAACAAAAATTTTCTAAGATATAATTTTCTTTCTTACAGCCGTCAATTATCGAGAAAAATCAACATACTCTCGGAAATGTATATGAAGTATTATTAATTTGTACCTAGTTAAAAAATATTTTAATATCTACCGTTCGAAAATGTTTTGCATATTTCGTCTTAAGTCTTTATTACTATTATTCAAAAATATAGATAATACCTAAATATAGACACAATATTTTCATTTACTATTGGAGTTAATATTTTGATCTAATTGGATATTAATTTCAAAAATATATGATAAAATAATAAATATTATAGTAATTATTACATTATAGATGACATACTTTTGTCAAAAATTAGTTCAACCTGCCATGTGTCCATGTTTCTAATATTAATACTAATATGTTATAAAATATCTTTAATACCGTAAACTAAACTCAAAGACGAGGTACACCCGAAATCAGAAATCTACTATTTTGTTTCTTGTTTTTAATGTTGAAATTATTTATAGCTGTAAACATTTTTGAAACATGATGACTATTAAAAGTAAATGTTATATCTTTTTTTTTGTTATTTATTATGAATTAATCATACGTCAAGTTTATTTTCCATATAATTGCCAGCAATTCACTTCTCAATCTAATCCAACATCCTATTATCATATTTTAAGAATTTGGTTGTATGTTCTATGGCATATGGCATATCTACTATGGAACTATGTAGTAGTGTATTGGTATAAAAACAGTGATTCATACTGGTATCTGTCGTTGGTTTTGTGCGCCATAGAACTAATAAAAGTATTATGTACGTATAAAAAATAAAAATAACATAAATATAAAGACAAGTAATTATTACAATCGGTTTAGTTTAAAGAAGTTTTTTATTGTTTTGATTTTTCGTAGAGAAAAGTTATAATAGGTTCTTAAAATTATTTTTCCTGAGAATAACCCGTTTTACTTCCATGAATACAACTTACTGGTTGTTTTTTATTTTTTCCACATCAAAACGATGATAAAAAGAACGTTTTATACTTATCCATGAAATCCAAAATTAAATTCTTAGCCCCCAGATCTCTACGTTCTTCAACTTTCTATACTTTACCAACTATTTTACTCGTATAATAGTATCTCGACTAAACTGTTTTTTTTTTATTACGACACCTACAACTGTACAGTGAAATGGTACCCACTTGCCCACTTTTGTTTGTCATAATTATTTTAAAAAGTTCTGAGATTTTTCAATTTTGACCTCCTAAAATCACCAATTATATTTCCAATTATTTACCAGAAACTTTCCTTAAAATTGATGAGCAAAGAATTTGTCTACTACCATTTTTCTAGCATTTTTCTGAAGTGTTTTCATATACAAATATAAATAAATAAAAACACTCTTCATTATAAAATCGATACATTCTTCATTCCACTAAGAATCTATTATTCGTTGAATGATAATTGTTCAGTACCCATTAAATCGGTGAAATTAATAAGATAATGATTTTAAATATATTTTATAATTATTAAAAATGAAACATTCAGCATGAGTCACCAACCAGTTTTTTCCAAGTCAAATTGTAGTTTATAAATATAACCTTTAGTATTTAAAAATGCTATGAGTAAATTATACTCAAGAACTAATGTATAATTTTTTAATATTTTTTACATAAAATGTATACATTTTTAATTTTAAATGAACATGTACCTAATAGTTATAAGCTTATAACTCTATGCGCTAGGTATCTACCGTCAGTTGATTATTGCCGAACACCGTCCTTCATTTATAAATATATATGACTTAAACCACTCATTTAATTTTCTAGACATTAAACTTTTTGTTAATCCGATAGGATCAACGATCATCCAAATACATTAAATATATGCTATAAGCATATATATGCTTTAATTTATGTTCAATTATTGTTATTACATTATCGTTGAACTCTCGGTACCAAGCTGAACCATTGCCTTGGGTATTTTTTTTTACATATCAGCTATTTTCTAATTTTTTTTAAATAATAATTTACAGTCGTATACATAAAATAAACTTAAACCAATTTGTACTAGTAAATATTTATGGTGGTGAATATCACTTTTTCGATATAAAATGAGTCGAGAAGGAGTTCTGGTACCATGTTGTAGTTTTGCCTAGTTCTTTTGTGCCTCTGCATTCTATGAATATCTATGTCATTGATAGATTTAGGATTTCCACATGGTTGGCAGGAAGTTTTTAATTTGCAAAACCACCGTAAGTAGTTGAAAATGATGTTTGTTATATGCACCAAAATGTGTATCAATGTATAATATACGTATAAGTCGAATATTAAATACTCAATTGTTGACATCGAGATTCAACGGACTCGAATGACAAAACGTAAATATTTTTCGGAATTTCTAACTTCCCGGGGCCTTATCAAGTAATCAATAATCATTATAATGTTTGACATTCGATCCGTGGTCAGATTTTCGACAAAAATAATTCATTTGTTATGTATTTAATATTTATATTATGAATAATTATTATACTTCGTATGATATTATTGTTGTTAAGTAGCTTTAAAGTCAATGCTGATGTACCGTAGAAAGGTGTGAATATAGGTTAGTGAAATAACCACTCATAATCTAAAATAGAATACTTCAAGTTATTAGCTATATATTTTCATACATTTTTGTTCAAAATGTGTAGTACAATAGAAAGAATAACCGATTTGAATTTTGGTGCACATTTACAAACACATTTAAAAATTGTTGATGCAGATTACACATGTGGAATACATTTAGGCGAATTTTAGTACGAATTGACTGCAGCCATTTGACGTATGTTTAGTGGCCGATTTATTTAATCATTTTGTAAGTATTAACTACCTAGTAACTTTTATATAAGACATCGGGTTAACTATTGAAACTAGTTTCTGATTTCAATAGTCTATACTCTATCTACAACACCTATTTTTGATATAGGCTCGATTAAACTACCATCGACGATTTTATAGCAATACAAAACGTTCAGTTTAACATTTTAAACAAAATAGATGTTACAGAGTTTATAATTTCTATTCAAATATTGAAGGTGAATTATTATACGATTATATAAATATTAAATAGATATGTGAAATTTGAATTAGCTTAATTTGCAGTATAATAGAAAATATTAGAATATTATGTTTCCGTGTAGATGAGCAATTACATAAATTCATAATTTGACTACTGAAAGATATTATACTGTGGTAAGTGATGACCTTAACATTGGAGATAAAGCGTAGGACTATTAGAGCGGTGATTTCAGGACGAAAATATATTCACAGGAAAATAATTTAACTCAATAATTACTTGTATATGTAATAATTTAATAATTTAATTTATATTCTTCATATAAATAATATCAATAACTTAAAAAAAACACTAGGTTTTTCAAATAAATAATTTGCAAGTCATCAATTTGATATTGAGACGAGCTGATAATAGTCATAGTTTTATAAAAAATAATAACAAGTCAACAGAAAGTGGCGCTATATGTGAGCATCTCGTTAGCGTCGATCACTTTTGACATTTTTGTCGAGCTACTCTAGCACATACTGACTGTGACGTGTATTAAATTAAAAATAACAACATTTTTGGTTAGGAAACTTAAACAAATACAACAATCCAACGAACTACAAAGGGAATATGTCTGTGTACGCTGTCTTTTGCAATGCTTTATTAACAATGTCTTGTGCAATAGCTCCGACTGCTTCTTCGAATGCTGGTTTCAATTCTTCAAGAAGAACTTCCCAGTTTTCGTTCAGGATGGAGTTCATGCTATCGCCTATTGTGCAAACAAAAACAACGGATTTAGCATAGAAAAAAAAATTAGTACTACTCAATCGTATTTTGTAAATAAAATTTTATGACAATGACTATTGAGTAGAATAAAACTCTTAAAGTACGGATAACATACCTAATTGTTTGTTTCCGTTGAAAAGATTTTCCAACTTGACACTCAGTTTCTTTACACTGACCAACCTAAGTTCGAATTTCTTGATTTGGACGAAGGTCTTGCCGTTCTTCTGGCTTGGAGATCCGGACACTTCTTTCAATTCCAATACGGGATCGTCTGTACAAACAATTACAATTATAAAAATTTGGA